GATTTTAAACTCTTCAAATGCCAGCAATAAAAAAAAAGACATTAGGTGGTTATAATGATGAAACTAGGATCAGCGTACAACAATTACTACTACCCTATTTGTGATTAAAGATACTAATAATGGTACATTTCATAGCTATATACCACCAAGTTTTGTTTTAAAAATTAAACTTTATCCAAGGATGATAATTTTTCAACAAATCACATTTTGAACCCAAGCTATTTAAATTGTTCCTCAAAATGATGCAATAAGGGAAATAAGAAGCACCGTACTTACATCTCTTGAGCGTTTCGTTCAAATTGTCATGCATTGCCTGCTCACAATTAGGAAGAACATGTTCATTTGTTTCAAAGGTTGTGTTCTTTAGGTTTTCAAGTACTCGTAGTTCTCGGAGGCCACGTTTTTCCTGTCAGAAGAAGTGAAAGACAATGAATGGCTAACAAGAAATTCTACTTCCCAAAATAAGGTGGTTTCCCAGTAGAAACCAATAGCTGTATCTGAAAGATGACACCGTTGTCAGGCAAGGTGCTACTTTACTTATTTTGCACAACTGAGAAAATTAATTTTGTGAAAAACGAGAGAAATGCTTCATTCTTCACACTAGAATACCAGAATATTTTGAATTATGCTTTTGGCCCACATGAGGAAAGTTTGTATTTACTAATGGAAACATTGTGTGGAAAAATGTGTTGTTTTGTATAGATTATTTACAGCATAACAAAAACAATAGAAAAGAAACAGAGCTTGAAAGCATTGCATTTTTGTAACTCAATAAAATAACACAGCAGTGAATTTGTTTGCTTGATGTTTGACCTTCCAGATTTAGCATGGTACGAGGCTAAAACAATGCAAGAAAAATTGTTTTACTAAAGTAAAACGATGAAGTCAAGACAAAAAATAACATGATACAGCTAACTAAAGAGGCAGCCCTTCTTGTGGCTCACTGCTGAAGATGATTAATTACAAGAACCACAAGCTCTTGCTTTGCTGTTTGCATTAAATAAAATATATATATTTTAAAAATATTCTGTTTTTCTGAAGCCACAGCACTACTCTGACTCCAAATTTTGCCTGCATTTCCCTTTAGACTACAAAAAAGATTCTGAAACCTGCTCTGGGCTGCCACTTGCCCCATTCCCCCTTTTTCCCCCTCTTCACATTTATAAGAATCATAAAACAATTCTAGATAATAAAAAAATACTGCATCACTGGATTACCAGACCTATTTTAAAACTTCAGAAAGAGAGGCACAGGGAAGTCAAGTCACAAATCTACATTCTAAATGTATTAGCATTTAAATGCTAATACATGAAAGAAACAGCTTATATCCTACTACAACCCAAAAGTATTTGATATTTCAAAGTTAGTAATGGTGCATTTCAAAGTTAGTAAGTGCAATTTTTGGAAGAAATTCTAAGTTATGAAACTGTAAATAATCCTCTGCTTTGCAATTTTTCCCCTAAAAGTATAAATCAGAAATTAAATTTCAAGAATACATCTAAGAGTATACAAAATTTATCTGGCGCAATGAGAAAAATATATTAATTCTAATTATTATTATTATCATTTTGTAATTGAGTTTAAAATTTCCCTTTCTGTGAAAAGCCACACAGAACTATTTACTGCATCCTATACCATATTTAGGAATGGTGAAGAAATAATTGCTTATGACTCTCAAGCCCATACTACACACATCTCATGAGAGTTTAGTTCACATATTTTGCAAACCAATATAGAGACAAATTAGACCCAGCTGAAATATTAGCTACAATGGGGAACAGGGAGGAAATTTTTATCTCATTTGAAAAAAATCAGCTGCATACACTAAAAATGTGAGGTATAACTATACTTCAGGGCTAAGTTTAAGAGCTTTTAATCCCACACTCTTTAAGAATGAAAATCTACTCAGAAGCAGCCTCTTCTTGTGACTAGATTCTACTTTTCTAAGGTTCTGCTGCCATCTTGTGGAAAACTGTTACACTTTCCAAGCGAAGTTGTACATCAGTACTCCTACACCTTCAATACTTCAGCCTTACTTGCAGCCAATCAGAAAACACCCAATTTTTAATGATTTTCTTTCTTTACACGAAGTGTTGCTCTTCTCTTCCAGAAATATTACTTTCTTTCAGGGAAAAAAAAGTAGCTACAAATTAATTTACAACTGTGCTAACTGAATCCAGCAGAGGCACAAAGCAGTTCCTTAATCAGATTCAAACCTATACTGGCCAACAATATTTTCCTCGAACCAACAAGACTCTTCTAGGTTGTTAGGACTACATCATTCTCCTACATCAACATTCCTACCAGTCTTTTGCAGGAAAAAAACCACTACGTTCTGTTCAAAACGTTTTAAATACAAAGACCTAAATTACTGCCTTGTGTACTAAAGATGCAGACATATACTATAGGTCCTTTAGTTATTTCGGACAAGAAATACAAGTCAAGTCCTTATGAAGAAAGTTACACACAATCTCTAAAAAGGTGTTACAATTGTTCTAAGTCTCAGACTCTGGAGGTTACAGCGCCCAATAATACACAAATACTTACTTCAAACTCTTTAACAAAGTAACGTATTTCTCCCTGAATTACCGGTCTGTGATCCAGCAGTCTTGAATAGATCTCCCCAACATCTAGAAGATTAAGTGAAGTCAGACTTTTAGTTTCACTCTCACACTCCATGCTGGGCTACACAATACCAGGCAGCACTGTGTACCTCAATACAAGAGGCACGACGACTCACCAAATACATACAAAAATCACAAGACTCCCAAAACAACACTGGTAGGCTACCCTACCTACTCAGCAAACCAGGAACTTAGATGAAATGCAATGAATCCATACATTCCAGAGGACACAGGCACATCCACGTGAAGCTGAACGTTCTCCTGTGTCTCTCAGCACCCTCTGTTTCAATCCTCCTCAGTGCAGTCACTGTACCTGTTACCTGTGGTAAAGATGCGATGCAGCACAGACCTAAAGGCTGCAGCACAACAGAGGTGCACGAGTTTTCTGCAGCGAGGCACAAGGGGAAGGCTCACTACAAAGGAAAACTGGCAGCATTTTCTTGTGTGCCATTGCCCAAGGCTTGAACGTCACTCTTGAAGGGTGAAGCCTTGTGACTTCACCACACAAACATGTATAAGAAACAGGCTTGAGTGTTGCACAGGAAGAAAAAACAAAGCCCATTAAACTTAAATGCAGCCTGAGAGCACAGAAAGGAACGACTATTTCAAGAAATACCGCACTTGAAACCGGCACCGACCCGGCGCTGCCACCCGAAGGAAGAGCCCTACTGTTTTTCTCCTGGCCTCGGCATTTTAAGCCACCCTGTGGCTCCCCCTCCGTCCTTCCTCCCCGGCACCTGCGTCCCACCCCGCTCCCCTCGGAACGCCTCACGGACCGGCAGCGGGCTGAGGAGACCCTTCTGGGCAGAGACACTGGGCTCGGTTCCGAGGCCCCGGTGCCTGCGCCCCCCCAGCCGGGCCTCGCCCAGCACCGGGGCCCAGCACCGGCCCCGCTCCTTACCCTTGATGACGGGCTGGATGGGGGA